TCCCCCCGGGTGGCGGCCGGGACCGTGGCGGGGCCGCGCGTGCAGGGCTCGGGCTCCGCACGCTCGCGCTGCCGCACCGCGCCTGGTACAGAGCCAGTGGTAGCCGCACGCCGGGACCACTCCACCCGCGCTTCCGTGTCCCAGACCCATTCCCCACTTCCAGAACGTGTGAGACCATTACCAACGGCACCCGAACAACGCGCCAGGCGCACGCACTCCGGAATCCACGGGAGACCCCATATCGGCCTGCGGGGCCTGCAGAAACTTTGCTTCCCCATCCTGAGGCCGCTCCTGTTTCCCTTCACGCTTTAGCTACCGGGAAGCTCGGGGCAGACTCACACCCAGTGCTCCCTATCCTACGCACACTTCTGCCTTCGCGCTGCGGAAGGGTTTTCTCTGTTTACATTTTTTATTGTATCAGTGAATGCAATGTATAAGCCAGCCCTGATCATTTTTGGAAGGAAGCTGGGTGTAAATAAATTATTGCAGCTATACTGGAAATAATACGGAGGTTCTTCAGCAACTGAAGCTGGTATATTTCAGTGAACACTACGTTGTATGGAAGGGGGAAAGGCTCTCTCAATAGCTCTTCATAATAGAATTAACTCTAATAAACAATGTGAGCCACCCATCAGCAGCTGGCCACAGCGCAGGGCTGTCCCCCTGGGCACAACAGCTCAGCTCAGCTCGGCTGTCTCCCTGTGTGGCTTCCAGTTCAGCTGCCCCAGCCAGGGCCGGGCGGTGACCTGTGGGTGCCAGGCTGGGCTCCACTCTGTGCTGCCCCACTGGGGAAGGGTGCCCTCTCAAGGGGCCCTGTGGCCTTCCCCTGAGATCTGTCAGGGGAAGAGGCGGGGGCAAGGGTAATGGAGGGGAAGAAGTGGGCGTCGGCGGTCTGGGGGCCTGTGTTACCCGGGGTTAGCCTCAAATCTCCCATGTTACTGTGGGGATCAGAGGAGCACTTTGCAAGCGTAAGGAGCCCTGACCTCTCCCTGACAGTCCCCACTTTTGGGGGAGGGGTTCAGGTCTCCTGCCTTCGCTGGGGTCACCTGACTTCCAGGTAGGGCATGGGTGCTGGTCCCCGACCACCTACCAAACACGGAGTGCCCAGGCCCACTTCCTCTGCGGAGCCTCCTCCTTCCCACACTCCCACCCCCAGCCCCTGACCCTTGGCCGAGCCAGGCCAGGTGGCGGCCCTTGAGCCTGGCACAGAGCAGGGGCCTCCCCAGTTGCTGGCCCAGGTGCTGAGGTCCAGCCTATCTCGCTCCTCCAGGATACCCTCCCCCGGCCCCACTCACACCGGGGGTGGGGGGTGAGCCCCCATGGCTGCGCACCCCTACCTTTCAGCAGCAGCTGGAACTCCTTCAGCAGTACCTCTGGTGGGATGATAGGGCCTGGGGGGCCCTGGGGGCCGGGGGGCCCCGGGGGCCCTGGCAGGCCAAGCTGAAAGTGAACCTCAGCAGTGAGGACATCTGAACAGGCAGGCTGGCACCTGTGGGCACCCCCCATGCCAGCTCTGGCCACTAAGAGGCAGGCAGGAGGGGCCTCGCTTTGACCTCCAAGGTGGAGGTGAGCCTCAGGGCCTCAGACTCTCCGAGAAGGCAGGGTCCGCGCTTTGACAGCTGCTGGGCCATGAGTGTGAGGACTGGATTGGCTGGGGGAGTGGGGGCCCTGGGGGCGGGGCTTGGGGAGGCAGAGGGGGTCTCCTGGAGGGAGGGAAAGAAGGAGGGAAGGACACTCCAGGCTGCTTTCTCATCTCAGGGTCTGTTACTGCACCAGTCGGCCAGGGTCAGCAAGGCCCCACTGGGCCTGGCCCAGCAGCGGGACCTGGGACTTCAAGGAGCCCACACTGGGCAGGGCTGGGACCCAACACGGGAACAAGGAAATCCCCTGCAGAGAGGAGCACGGGGGACCCCCCAGTTCAGTTTGGGGCAGGGCCAGGTGGTGCAGAGGGGCAAGGGTGATAGGTCAGGTCATGGTGACAGCCCAGGCGCCCCCCTGCCTCAGACTCAGAGCCCTGCTCTCCATTGTTGGGTCAGATCCAGGGCAGGGTGAGGCCGGCCCTCTGGGCGGACAGAGAAGCCCAAATCCAGTGTGGGCAGCACAGCCCTGACCCAGAGCTGCCCTCCCCAGGGGACATGGCCCTCTTTGGGGCTCAAGGTAAGAGTCAGGCATCAGAACCAGGCACCAGGCCCAAGGCTGAAGGAGAGTGGGAACCAGCAGCTGCCAGGGCCCCTGTGCTCCCACCCACTGGGAACCAGACTGTGTGTCACTCCAGCCCCCCTGCAGGCCCCTCCAGGGTGGTCCCTGACCGCCTTCCCAGGCCAGCCCAGGCCTCCCTCACCAGGGTGCAGAGGGAAGAGAAAGGGAGTAGCCAGTGGAGCTGCCTGGCATTCTAGGGGTACAGGGTAAATGGCTGGATCAGGCTCCAAACTCAGGGTGACCTGGGCCCCGCCTTGGCACTTTCTGTGCTCTATGACCCCAGACCAAGGGTGAGGGTCTGTGCCTGTTGGAAATGCCCAGGGTGTGCAGTGGGAGGTGGTGAGGGGTACGGGGGTGATGGCGGTGGGCTGGGGGTTCAGGGAAGACCCGCTCCTCCCTCTCACACCCCCTGCCCCGGGACGCGCGCGCACACACACACACACTCTGGCGGGGCTCTCCTGCTCACCTTCAGCTTCTTGGCCTTGCCTCTGCTCCCCCTCTTGCTGTTGACGCCCTTGTCACCCTGCCTGACGAAGAGCATCCAGGCGTCATGAGGGTCGATGCCGTGTGCTCGCTCGGTGCTGGGCTCCTGGAACACAGATGGCCGTCAGGTGAGTGTGCCCCCCCAGCAGGCACCCGCCACACACACAGGATGTGACCGTGCAGGACAGGCCTTCTGCACCCTCCAGCCCCCTCCTTGTCAACAGTGGTGCCCCCAAAGACAGCACAGCCCCCGGCCCCTGACCCCCTCCTCTTGGCACACGGAGGATGACCACTGGGGAACAGGCCACACCACAGCCTGGACTTTGTGGGAGAAGAGGACCCTGGATGTGGGTGGAGGAAGTCGGGGTGCAGAGCTCTGTAGGGGTGGGAATCCTGGCACTGCTGGCCACCAGGCCTCTTCCAGCCTCCTCCATAGGAGCCGCAGTGAACACAGCTTCCTGGGAGAGTCACGGGACGGATGGGACCACCGGCACCCACAGGTGGTCAGGAAGAGGTGACTGTGAATATTGGGACCCCAGCTACCAGCAGACTCCCTTGTCTAACCCCCATGGTCCGAGGTTCCAGGGAGGCCAATTTCAGCCCTCAGGGCTGCCGCGGCTTGTGGTCCAGGGCAGTTAGGGGGACTGGGTGGTCCAGCACTGAGATGTCAAGGCCCCTGCATGGGGCATGAGCCACTCATCTTCCTCAGGACTTCTGAGATGCTTGACCGAAGCAAGGACAGTGACCGTTCCAGAAGTATCCATTCCCCTGCATGCTGCATTCTGACCAGTCCTGACAATGAAGGAAGTTCCAGGAGGTACCTTCCAGGGAGAGGCCTTGGGCCCTTTGGGGAGAGGGCCTCGGGCAGTCTGGGCTCCAGGCAAGGCCGCCAGCTGGGAAGGAAGCTGGCCCAAGAGTGCTTAGCTGAGGTCATGGGCGCCAACTCCAGTGGCTGATGGAAGGACCCCGGGGTTCTGGAACTAGCCAGGCCCTGTCCTCAGAGACACACCCAGTGGTCTCCGGGCCACTCTACGGAGACCTGGGGCCTTCCTTCTGGAGTCAGTGTGCTGTGGTGGGGAGACGGGGGCTTGCGGGTTGGAGGAATCTGAGTTGGACGGAAACAGGCTTCAGAGTGCCCGGGGCTTCCCCATGTCTCACTGGGTGGTGGGCCTTGCGAGGTGCTGCCCTGCTGTGGCTGCTCTCCACAGACACCAGGACCTGTGATCCCACCTCACAACCTCACGCCGCCCTCGGTGGGAACCCATGGCAGGATTCCACACAGGCCGGGTGGGCGTGCCGAGCTGGCCGCCCTCTCAGCTGGACCAGTGGCCTGTGGATGGACTCAGACCCCAGTTTGGTTTGGGAGAGCAGAAACGGGTGGACCAACAGCTCCACGTTGGTCTGGAGCCCGGGGAAACAGGCCTGTGGTGGTGTGGGTGGGTGTCAGGCAGGTGCCCTGGCCCATGAAGGTCTCCAGCCTCAAAGGGCTCTCAGGAAGGAGCTGGGAACCCCTAGTGCCACCTTGGTCCTCCCAAAGAGGGTCCAAGGCCAGAACCCCCACTGGAAGCACCTGGGCTCCCCACTGCTTCCTGGCAACTGCGCCGGACATCAGGCAGCCCCGCCTCCCCCAGGGTGTGGCCTCCTGTCTGGGTGGGGTTTGCCTTCAGTCCATGGGAAGTGGCTGAGGGTGGTGGGGACTGAGGACTTCGGGGAGGCTCCTCCCAGGGAGCCTGCGGGGCTGGCTGCCACCTCCGCCTGTCTTAGTGGGGGCGTCCTTGGCCATCCTGGTTCCAAGTGAGATGGGAAGGAAGGAGCAGGGCAGGGCTAAAGATCCCCCCTCCGCCCTAGAAGTCACAGGGCATTGGGGGCCCCTGCATTCCCCCTTCTTCCCCCAGACCCACAGCGAGGCAGTTTTTGTTTTTCAGAGGAAATTGTCCCAAATAGATTGGTGGGGAGGGGTCAGTAATTTGCTCACACTTTTACAATTACCTTCTTCCCAATTTCATGAGAATCAAGTTATTTACATTTTACGTATTTCCCAACTTCCCTCTGTCCCCAAAGAAAAGGCATTTTCCCCTGGCCTGGTAGAATTTTGCTTCGATGCAGAGAAAACTACCAAAAGCCAAGATCAAGGCCGGCCTTTGCAGCGCCCGGCTGTGCAGAGGGCCGCGTCCAGAACTCCCGGGTCTCACCGGAGCCCCGAGTGCAAAGCGTTTTTAACCCCACTTTAGAAAGGAGGACACCAAGTCAGCCCAGGTCCCTGCCGGCGGCGCCGCGCTTCCCCCGCCCCCGGTGCGCCCTGGACCTCGGGGAGGTGCGGGGTCCGGGTGGGCGCTGAGGCCCAGGGGTCTCCGGGGCGCTGGGGCCGGGGCGCAGGTTAGGCGGTCGCGCGTCGCGGC